AGAGAGAGGGAGGAGAGAGGCGAGCGAGATCGAGAGAGGGAGGAGAGAGGCGAGCGAGATCGAGAGAGGGAGGAGAGAGGCGAGCGAGATCGAGAGAGGGAGGAGAGAGGCTGAATATATGTTGTATCACGAATATAATTGGTACATAATACAAATACAGTTGATACAACATACAAATATAATTTTCTAAATACAATTGATACAATTTGTTTGTATCATATATTGAATATGTATCAATTATATTAACTAACACAATTTATATTGACGAATACAATTGGCAAAATACAAATTGTCATAATATAATTGATACATATACAATTGATACATAATACAAAATACGATTGATATGGAATACAAATACATTTGATACATAATACAAAATACAATTGTCTTATTATGTGAAATTTTTTTGGACTGCAGTTCTTTAGGCTGGAGAGAGGTAGTGGGAGGAGAGAGGCAAGGGAGAGAGGGAGAGGGAGGTAGTAGTAGGAGGAGAGAGACAAGGGAGAGAGAGGGGCAGTGGGAGGAGAGAGAAACTTGCTATAAAACACTACATATAGCTAAGAATTATAATATTTCAAACTATAGTCATTTTTCGTAAATACATATCACATGTTTGCCTTGTTGTGTAATTTTTTTATATTTTTTTTTGAAAAGTTCAACCTAGTTTACTAGTCAATGATTAGTTTTAGGGGCATTTTAAAGCCAAATTATAACTTTGAGGGCATATAATTACTGAACACCTAAATATCAAGCTGGGCCGATATAGTAATCAAGATTTATACATCAATTATCACTCTTATAGACTTTTCTTTATCCTCTATAAATTTAAATTGGTTAAATAATTATTTCCTACTTTTAAAATTAATATTCTCAAGGTGAATTTTTCTATAATATGTAGGACTATATAATACTTATATCTAATACTATTTGATAAATAAGATTAACCACACCTAAAAAATAGATCAAGGACTATTTGTAGAGACTTGACATTATGACATTTCGACTAATAAAATATCAAATAAAATTGTATTATTAAAAGTGATATAATTTTTGTATTGTAATTATGTTTAAGTACTTCCCATTTCCTCTTTAAAATAGTTCTAACTATAAAACAATTCAATTTTGCAATTTAAATTAAGTTAAATTATTTTAGCCAAATAATTGATTGCTGGATAACCACATTAGTGGACATTCTAGGTGCTTTTAAAACCTTCCTAGAATGTTAATAAGAACCTCGAACCCTTTTTAAGTTTTCACTAGATTTCTGTTTTAGTTTTTTGAAAACCACAGTTTTTCTTGGTTTTTCTTAAAAAATTAAGTGGCGACTCTTAAACCAATCCAAAATATATTTTCTCAATAAAACAGAATATATGTTGTATTTGTTATATCACGAATATAATTGGTACATAATACAAATACAGTTGATACAACATACAAATATAATTGTCTAAATACAATTGATACAATTGGTTTGTATCATATATTGAATATAATTGCATCAATTATATTAACTAACACGATTTGTATCGACGAATACAAATTGTCATAATATAATTGATACATAATACATATACAATTGATACATAATACAAAATACGATTGATATGGAATACAAATACATTTTTTACATAATACAAAATACAATTGTCTTATTATATGAAATATTTTTGGACTGCAGTTCTTTGGGTTGGAGAGAGAGGTAGTGGGAGGAGAGAGGCAAGGGAGAGAGGGAGAGGGGGGAGCAGTGGGAGGAGAGAGACAAGGGAGAGAGAGGGGCCAGTGGGAAGAGAAAGAAATTTGCTATAAAACATTACATATAGCTAAGAATTATAATATTTCAAACTATAGTCATTTTTCGTAAATACATATCACATTTTTGTCTTGTTGTGTAATTTTATTTTATTTTTTTTAAAAAAAGTTCAACCTAGTTTACTAGTCAACGGTTAGTTTTAGGGGCATTTTAAAGCCAAATTATAACTTTGAGGGCATATAATTACTGAACACCTAAATATCAAACTGGATCGGTATAGTAATCAAGATCTATACATCAATTATCACTCTTATAGACTTTTCTTTATCCTCTATAAATTTAAATTGATTAAATAATTATTTCCTACTTTTAAAATTAATATTCTCAAGGTGAATTTTTCTACAATATGTAGGACTATATAATAGTTATATCTAATACTGTTTGATAAATAAGATTAACAACACGTAAAAAATGGATCAAAGACTATTTGTAGAGACTTGACATTATGACATTTCGACTAATAAAATATAGACGAGAGGGAATTACTCGGATGGTAGGTTGCGAATTAGAGTCACCAAGAGAGCAAAAGGGGTGGGAGCTCCTAGGGGAGGGAAAAAAAAAAGACTAATAAAATATCAAATAAAATTGTATTATTAAAAGTGATAATTTTTGTATTGTAGCTTTCTTTGAATCTTTCTATGTAAGGACTAGCTAGTGGATTGACTTGAGAATTCGAACTTTCAATATTCTCTAGCCTTCTTTTGAACACATGTTTAATGACTCGTGCATTGACTTGAAAATACGAACTTGCTCTTTTTTCCCATTAGTTTAACTTCGTATATACTATCAACTCCATGATAAATTATTCGGTTGATATATATGATTTGAAGTCGAATGGATCGGAATTATAGTAAATAACACCATGTACTTTGAACACGTTCTAAACAATATATGACTTTTACTGTTTTCAAAATAAATTGTAGCTTTAAATAATCTAAACATGTTCTTTTTTAAGTGCTAGAATTTCTCTAGAAAAGTCATTATGTAATTAACAACTTTAAATTTAACTGAAAATGACTAGGTGACCTTGAAATTGATTATTCCAAAGTAATATTAGTAGATTTTTCTTGCTTAATTTGTGGTTCACAATATTTGTCTAGCTAGACTTAATGAATCAGTGAACTTAAGATACAATGTCTGTAGTCCTGAACTGTCTTCCATCAACGGGGTATATTCTCATGGAAAATCAATTCGAACAGGCACTGTCTTCAGAGTAGATTTTCAACGATACAATGCATTAGCAAAGTGATGTTATATTCATAAGATATATTAAAATACACCTAATTGAGTAGATGATAATCATAGTTCATGTAGAAGATATTTCGATGTGTTTTAATAAACGAAAAATGGTCAAAATTACCCCTGAACTATGTGAAATAGACCACTTATATCCTTCGTTACATTTTGGGATCAAAAATGCCCCCGCCGTTATCCTAAGAAACCACAAATACCCTCAAGAGTTAACACCCCGAATTTTTAGTGATGTGGCAAGACACGTGGGAGTAATCCCTCCACCTAAGCATTGCCAACTAGGATTCACTACAAAAGAACTAGACCTTTAGCGGCGACACAAGTCGCCACAAAAGCCCAGAATATCGTCACTAAAGTTTTAACTGATTTTTAACATTAAATTCTAATTTTGTGTTTTTTTCTTCATTGCTTAAAAAAAAATCACAAATGATATCGATCAAGGAGGAGTTTGAAGACACTATATGTTTTATTTTTATGTCATACGTAAATGCATAAAATGTACAATGATGCATTATGTAGTAGGAGATTTGAATCGAGAAGTAATTTTGATGATTTTCGTAATAATATTGGATGTTTTTAATATTGATAGTGCATGTTATTTATTTTACAAAAAATAGATTGCAACTGAAAATTAATTATCATATTTTTTTGTTGAAAAAATATGTTATACTAAGGAATGGTTGTTGCAGCCTTAGTCGCTACTAAAAATCACTCATAACCTTTAGTGGCAATATTTTGGGATTTTGTGGCGACTTTTATCGCCACTAAAGGTCTAGTTCTTTTGTAGTGAATCGAAGTTGGCAACACTTAGGTGGAGGGATTAGTCTCATGTGGCTTGCCACGTCACTAAAAAATTGGATAGTTAACTCTTGAGGGTATTTGTGGTCTCTTGGGATAACACGGGGGTATTTTTAATCCCAAAATGTAATGGAGGGTATAAGTGGTCTATTCCACATAGTTCAGGGGTATTTTTTACCCTTTTCCGTTTAATAAATATCTAATTAACTTGGAGTGTTATATTTATAAGAAAATTGTTGACTTGAAATACTTATGTGAAAGTTTCTACACCAATTAGTACTCTTAAAGACTTTTATCTCCCCTCTAAGAATTTTAAATGGATTAAATAATTGTTTTCTAATGTAGAATAATATTAATGACTCATGCATTGACTTGAAAATTGGAATTTTTGAATTTTCCAGCATTTATTTGGATTATGGTGCAATGACTTGTGCATTGATTTGGAAATATGAACTTGAGATTATTTTTTAGTAGTTTAACTTTTATATATTTACAGTTATGGAGAATTTAAACTATCGTAAAGCAATATGATTGCGTAAAAATCTTTTATATATAGTTAATACATATATTTTGAATTTTCTTTTTGATTTATCTAACATTGAAGTCCGATGGAATTATTTTAAAAATATTATAACACTCTCACCCTGTGCATTGAGCATATTCTAAATAATATCTGGCTTTTACTATTTTCACAATTTTTTTCTTTTTTTGAAATTGCAATAACTAAGCTTCAACCTCAAGCTACTTTCGATAAGCTATATGAATTCTCACTAATCATTTCGCTCCATATTAGCCCATTTCGTTTCAATATTAACTCTACACTGTAAGGGGAAAATGTCTTGCAGTTAATATGGCATGATACTAGTGATGAAAGATTTAATAGTATTTACATATTGAGATGGTTACAGTTAATTTTTTCATTAGAATTTAGAACACTATCGTTGAATAAGTCTTAATGCTCTAAAAAGTTCATTTTTTTAAAAATAAAATTTGAATATGTAATTGACTGAAAATGACTTGGTAAGCTTCCTAGAATTGCTTACTCCAAAGGGACATAGTAGATTTTTCTTTGCTTAATTTGTGTTATATATATCTACATTATTTAATAGAGGAGCAGAACAAAAAAATTCTTGATTTCTTCTCTTCCAACATAATTTTAATACTTTTAGTACAAAAATGGGTTATCAAACACTTGCATTGTTTCTTTTATGTTCCTTTCTATGTCAACTTGTTTTCTCCTCATTCTTACCTCATTTGTGCCCGAGTGATCAAGCCCTTGCTCTCCTACAATTCAAGCATATGTTTGCCATTAATCCTAGTGCTTCTCATGATTGTTTCGACATAACAGGCGAATGGATGCAGTCATACTCGAAAACATTGTCATGGAACAAGAGCACAGATTGTTGCTCATGGGATGGAGTTCATTGTGACGAGACAACGGGAAAGGTGATTGAGCTTAACCTCACTTGTAGCAATCTTCAAGGCAAATTTGATTCCAACACTAGTCTCTTTCAACTCTCCAATCTCAAAAGGCTTGATTTGTCTTCGAATAATTTTTCAGGATCGCTCATTTCACCTAAATTTGGTGAGTTTTCTAATTTGACGCATCTTGATTTGTCACATTCAGGTTTTAGATTCGGACCTCACAATTTAGAACTTCTCCTTAAGAACTTAACCCAATTAAGAGAGCTTGACCTTTACGGTATGAGCATCTCTTCCACCTTTCCTCTGAATTTCTCTTCTTATTTAACAACTCTACGACTTAGTGACACACTATTATGGGGGATACTGCCCGAAAGTGTTTTTCACCTTTCAAACCTGGAAACACTTGATTTATCATACAATCCCCAACTCACAATTAGGTTTCCCACGATCAAATGGAATAGCAGTACATCTCTCATGTACTTATCTCTACCTGAAGTGAATTTTATTGGTAAGATACCCGAATCATTTAGCTATCTAACTTCATTGCATTACTTGGATATGAGATCTTGTAACCTCTCAGGTCCTATTATTAAACCTCTTTGGAATCTCTCCCACATACAAAGTTTGTATCTCAGAAATAACCATCTTGAAGGACCAATTTCCCAATTCTTCAAATTTGGAAACCTCAAGTTGTTATCACTTGGAATTAACAACTTTTATGGCCAACTTGATTTTTTATCCTCCAACAGAAGTTGGACTCAACTTGAAGTGTTCGAAGTTTCTTCCAATTCCTTAGTTGGTCCAATTCCTTCCGATGTAAGTGGTCTGCAAAGCCTACAATCATTGTTCTTGTCATCAAACCACTTGAATGGGACTATACCATCATGGATATTCTCCCTTCCTTCACTAGATGAATTATACTTGAATGATAACTATTTCAGTGGAGAAATTCAGGAGTTCAAGTCCAAAACATTGTGGGACGTTACTCTAAAACAAAATCAGTTGCAAGGTCCTATTCCGATGTCACTCCTAAACCAACAGAGCCTATCTTATCTTCTCCTTTCGAAAAATAATCTTAGTGGACAGATTGCTTCAGCTGTCTGCAGTCTAAAAGCCTTGACAGTGCTAGATCTTGGAAGTAATAATTTGAAGGGAACAATCCCACGATGTTTGGGTGAGATGAGTGAACTTTGGGTTGTTGATCTAAGCAACAACAGTCTTAGTGGGGCAATTAATACAACATTTAGTATAGGAAACACGCTCAGAGTCATTAAATTGCACGGGAATAAGCTAGAGGGGGAAGTCCCACGATCTTTGGTCAATTGCAAGAGTTTGGAATGTCTAGATTTAGGTAACAATGAGTTGAGTGACACATTTCCAAAATGGTTAGGAACCCTACCGAATTTGAAGATTTTAAGCTTGAGATCAAATAAGTTCCACGGGCCCATTAAAACTTCAAGGGCTGGAAACTTGTTTGTACATCTTCGAATAATTGATCTATCATCCAATGGATTTAGTGGGAATTTACCTATGAGCCTTTTTGAGGATTTGAAAGCTATGAAGATAAATGATGAGATCACGAAAATCCCACAGTATGTGGGAGAAGACTTGTATTATCATTTTTCTGAAACAATTACAACAAAGGGGTTGGATCTTGAATTTCGTGGAGTTTTGACTACAAACATAGTTATCAATCTCTCGAAGAATAGATTTGAAGGTTGTATTCCAAGTTCCATTGGAGATCTCATTGCACTTCGTACTTTGAATTTATCTCATAATGGCTTGGAGGGTGTCACACCAACTTCGCTGCAATACTTATCTGTACTTGAATCATTAGATCTCTCATTCAACAAAATAAGCGGAGAAATTCCACAACAACTTGCATCCCTCACATTTCTTGAAGTCTTAAATCTCTCTCACAATCATCTTGTTGGATGCATCCCTAGAGGAAAACAATTTGATACGTTTGAGAATAGTTCATACCAAGGGAATGATGGGTTACGTGGATTGCCACTGTCAAAAGATTGTGGTGGTGATGAAGGGGTACCACAAACAACAACTCCATTTGGGCTTGATCAAGGAGAAGAAGGAGACTCAACAATGATCAGTTGGCAGGCAGTTCTCATGGGGTATGGTTGCGGTCTAATTATTGGATTATCCGTAATATACATAATGTTATCAACTCAAAATCCAGCATGGTTTTCGAGGATGGTTGAAGAATTGGACCACAAGATTATTACGAGAATGAAAAAATACAAGAAAAGATATTAGTGTGCAACCTAGCCAGGTATTCAACTTGATCTTTATCATTCATAAGATTATTTTGTATATCTCAATGTATTATATATCTACCTCCTTCATCCTTAAAATTCTTAACTTCAATTCTTCATTTTTTAAAATTGCAGGATTCGAGCCTAATATGTTGTTGGTGATGCAAATATAAGCTTTTATTTTTCACATTTTGTGATGTATCTAAGTATTTATCGCCCTATGAATAAAGACATGAGCTTTCTTCCTTTGAGCTTCGGCCAGAATTTTTAGAACGTTTTTAAATAGAGATTGTTAGCTTGAGTTCAGCCTAATAATAAGTTGAGTAATTAGGCTCAACCGCAAAGTCAGTTCATAAACTTATGAATTTATTATCTTTATCTTTTTCTTAATTACATAAAGTAATTTCAATGTGAAAGAATATAATATGATCATTTATTTCAGGAATATATGATATATTTTCGGAATCACTATGGTTATTTGCAGAGGAGCACGATGATCAATCGATCGATAAATAATTAAGAAAATAAAAGTAGGAGATGTAAAATCAGCAAAACATCATTCCACATCATTTGTCAAAAGCAAACCTTTGGAATTGACAATATAGACTATAACCAATATCATTATGTGGCTAAAATAGAATTTCTACGGAGAAAATTCATCATCTACTATATATACGTAAAGAAAAATAAAGACCTTGCATATAAAATGTAATTTTTTGGTAAAAGGGTTCGGAGGAACTCCTTAATTCACCCTTCTAGGTCTGCCGCGGTACCAATCATCTTTCTTTTTTATAATGATAATTGCTCCATATATAACAATGATAATGAATTAAATGATTATACTAGATAAAATAAGCTTTTTTTTATAATGAATTAAATGATTATACTAGATAAAATTTGCTTTTTTATAATGAATTAAATGACTATACTAGATAAAATTTGCTTTGTGGAGGGGTGGTTTTAAACTTTACTTTGCACCATGAGGTCTCAAGTTCAAAATTATTCAACCCCTTATTTTATTCAATAGTAAAATATATGTCATATCTCAATGTATATGTATACATATATGTATATACATAATTTCAAAAGTTAACGGGTGCACGTGCAATGGAAGACGTGGGTCCGTCTCTGATTATTAGGTTCTTGATGTATTTATTTATATAATCAATCAGAGGCGGATCTGAAATTTGAAGTTTATGAGTTCCTAGAACTACCTCAAGTTAACACTGTAGATCCACCCTTGTATCCAAATAAACTACTTCTTGTCAAACGAGAGTTGCTCCTGAAGCCTTAAAATTTCAACAATATCAACTTAACCTTTAGGAGTTCAATTTGAGCTTGGTATACTAGCTCCGCCTCTATATATGGATGGTGTGAAATGTAATTTTGAGTTTCTGTTATTTAAAAACATTCATTCAGCAATAGTTGGATGGATATTTCCAACTTCAGTAAAAAAATAGTTTTTTGAGAAAGCCGCTAGCACCCACTGGTGTGGCCTATTAAGTAAGTGTTAAGATATTCACTTAATATTCGAACCCTTTTGTTAGAAAAATTACATTTTACATGCAAGATCTTTATTTTTATTTATGTGTATATGGTAGATAATGAATTTCCTCAATAGAAATTTGGCTTTTGGCCACATAATGATATTGGCAATTATATGCTAACAAATATGTACACATTAAAAGGATAAAAATATTGATCAACTTTTATTGGAGGTTTGTGCTTATAAATACAAATTAGTTATGGACACGTGGATTGCATGTGTATTCATATTTTAATTTTTTTTAAATGACATGAATATTAGTAAAACATACATGTGCCAGTTTTCCCCAAATTGAAAGTGAAAATACAATTTTCCATGTGAAAATATATGTTTCAACAATATAAAGCAATTGCAAAAGACGCTATAATGTTACTTGAGAACAACATACCTCAAGTAGTATATAGATTAATCTTGTTGATTTATGTTACTAAAAATCTATACAAAATGAAGCTTAATTATTCCATTCTCATAATATTTTTTACATGATTTTAATTTGAGGAGTAATTTTTAGTAGTAATAATAAAAGGTCGAAAGAATTCATAAAGAAATAATCAAAATGTCCAAAATTATCATCACACCAACCATTTGAGTTTTAACACTACGGAAAACTACCTTTAATATAGAATGTGTATGTTTAAGAAAAATTAGGCTTTAGTGTCACACAAATGTAAGTGTAAGTCTCATTTTTATTTGAAAGTTAAATTGCACATAGTATAAATAGTAGAAAAATAAAAAATGAACGAAAAAGGTGAAAATGAACAATATATGTATGTGTTCACAACACCATGTAAGATAAATGATAAAGTAACACAATCAAAATCTTTCATCAAAGTAATAATCTTTTAGCAATCTTTATTTAATTAAATTAACTTGTATTTAAACAATTGACAACAAAGATGTATGAGCATATTATTACATAAATTATTCAAATATTATCAAACACATTATGTATTAATAGAAGTTTTGTCAAATGAGTGATACTTGCAAGAATAATAATACAAATACAAAAAAATTATCCCAGAACAATGCAAAATGATATATGAATTACATAAAAATATGGGTTGCATACCAAATTTAATGAAAAAAAAGATCTCATCTCTTCTACTTATAAGTTGAATTGTTCTATTGTAAGGGAACATTAATAGATGATAGAAAAGAAAAAAAAATGATGATTTGTAGCTACAATTGACTGGTATTTTTAGTGATATTTGACTGTTTTTTCACCTACCAAATTTCATTAATGGTGCACACTGAATCGTGATACATAAATTTAATTTTTGATTTCAAAATTAAAAGAGTCGCCGAATTGGAAGAGTTTCATACATTGTGTTGTCTTCTACTTTATTTGAATTTAACCTAATCAATTATAATTATAATGTCATAATTAAAAAATTAAAGTGTAGTTGTTAGACTTCATATTCTATCATTATGTAATTAAAATATTAGTATTTGATATATGAATTAATCATATTTAGATTTAGTAAAGGGGAAAAATGGTAATCTAACTTTGAAGGTTAGAGCTTCCCATTTTTAATAATAATATGATATGATATGATATGATACCCCCTCCGTTCTTTTTTATATGTTATCCTTACTATAAATAGTTGGTTCTTAATACTCCCTCTGTCCCTAATTACTTGTCCACTTTTCCTTTTATAGTTGTCCCTAATTACTTGTCCATTTTCACAAATCAAGAAAGGACAATTTTTTTTTACCATTATACCTCAATTAAATGACTAATTACTTTGAAAAATGCAAAACTTTTCATCCACTTCATAATTAATAGGGGTAAAATAGTAAACTCAATATGTCATTAATTGATTTCTTAATAGGTGGTGCCAATTCAAAAGTAGACAAGTAATTAGAGACAAAGGGAATAGTTGTCATATCATAAAATCAAGGGAAAATTGTATATAATAGCAAACTATTAAATTCAAATTAAATGCTATAAATATAGTTTGATTTAATTGTACCTCATAGCAAACTGTTGCTATTTCACCTCTCTCCTGATGAATCTCGCTCGCCACTCTCATTCTCTCCTTCACCTCTCTCGTTTTTTTATACAAACGCAAGTGTATAAAGTGCGTTTGTGTTTGTATAAAGCGAGAGAAAATTGAATATATACATATATTTTCGTTCCCCTCTCTCCCCTCTTCCGGATCTGTAACATCCGATAAATTGAAATATCTATGAAGAGGCTTAAAAATCGGAAATAGTCATTTTTGGAAAGAATTTGAAAATCTGGAATTTGTCTAAGTCTGGAAAAAAAGGTGAGTCTTTGGCCGACTTTGAGCAGTCAAAACTTCTAGCTCAGGATGAGTTAGGAGTACTTCTAGTTATGGTTGCGAAGCTTGTGGAATGATCTTCCCAACGCCACCGAGTTTGCTCGATTCCGAGTTCGTATGAGTGAGTTATGCCCTTTGGAAGTTGGGCTGTTGGCAGGGCAGTTAACCCGATTTTGTAAGGGTATTT